TACCATGAGCTAATGTAAAAGCAGCACATCAGACACAACAGACATCAAACGCCCCCAATACACATGAGAAGTACTACAGAAACATTGAAAAACACTGCAAATCATCTTCCATTTATCTATTCGTCACCATCATGGACAATTTGGGGATTTGTGAGCTGCTGATTGGACCGATCTGCAGCCCCACCCCCTGCTTCGGAACTCATCCCAGGCCACGGAAATTTTAGATCAGTGGAGTGGAAGCAGGACGATGAACTAGATTGGAGAACTCAAGATACTCAATTTCAAAGTCCAGGTGCACCATTTTTCCTTGATCTGGGGTGAACCGTGCAATGAGGGATGGAGAGAATGAGTAATCAGATCATGGAGGCCGTTGGTTACGGCAGCAGTTAGGAAGCACGCAATTAGCGGCCATTACTAATCTCTCGCGGGGCTAAACTACCAGATCGGGCATACATCATGCTTCCAATCCAACGGCCAACGACTAGTCTGATAGAGAGATAATTACAGCCACGGTCCTTGTACTCTCTGGCACGTAACAAGATCATCCTCACACTCATGGAATGCTCCATTATGGTCCTCAAATACGATGATACACTCCAATACAGTCCTGGGAACGTCTCCCGCCATGCCCCGTATGCAGACTCATGCCATGTAAGCATAGAAATGTGGGTCCCACACCACATGTCAGCGCCTTGAGATAGAAATCAATGGAAAAAAATAACTCTAACGCGGTGAGGTTCAAGCAAGAGACCACAGGCCATCTGCGCAACATGAGCTTAGCCACCAGACCGACGTGTGGTTACTGTACAGTGCAAATATAAATCAATTTCGTGTATCGCTCACGTTCGGAAGAACATAAAATTGGGCATGCTTCAGTAGTGTAGCGTACGTATTTTAAGAAAATCTTCAAGCGATTTTCCCGATATGTATTCTATCCATTTTTTAAAAATTACCATGTTTGTGTTTAATTTTCCTATTTATTTTTAAATTTAATTTTTCGAGATAAAAAATCACAGTTATTGTGCATTTTAAATCTTTGTTCTATTTTCATTCTTTTGTACGCTGAAGAGGTAAACATAAAATTTTCCTAAAATTTATGTGGATTAAAAAAATGTAAGCAAATTTATGTATCTTCATTCAGGACCACAAGCACTGAAGCACACACAATTGTTGTGCCTCCTTATATTTTTTTCAAATACACAACTACTAAAAATTGACAACTGGTATTTTGAATAATGCTTGTTGTGGTTTTAGAAAATAGTAATATTTTTACCCCATTATATGCCCAGCTACCGGTTTTCTTATTGTTTTCCTTCAAGTTGTGTTTATTTTTTGAATGCATTATTGACATTTTAAAAAGTGCATTTACAATTACATGTTAAGCATTTTCCAAAACATTCTGAACATTTTTTTCAAATGCACAAACACTTTATTTACCATCCATGGCTATTGTAATTTTTTTTCTTACATTTAATTTTTCAAATGTGGAAAAATAAAATTAATCGTGAACCTGGAAAATAAATAAAAAAGAAAACCAGTAGAATAGAAGTGATAGTCTCATGGAGAGGTACATGGAGGCGCACTATGTAAACATCTAGCTCAGAAATAAAACAGGAGCACAGTTTTGCTTTGTGGTTAGTTTATGAGCGCTTTGCAATCAGCGACCACAAGTCTCTGGTTCAAACATTCCTCTTGCAATTTGTTTCTCTAATCTTTCTCTCTCCTGTACTTACATGTGGGTCTCATGCTTCTACTGTACGATAGCGTGACACAGGCTGGGCTGCTATGCGTACCGCGAGACGTAGTCAGGACCGTATTGGAGTGTATCCTCGTATTTGAGGACTGTAGTGGAGCATTTCACGAGTTCGAGGACCATCATGTTACACGCCGGAGAGTACAGGGACTGCATGTGTAATTATCTTGATAGAGAGATGAAAATTACCAGTAGTCGATAGAGAAATGAGACCGACGGTCGGACCATCTCTCTCTGCCTTCATTGTTGGGCGACGAGTAATAATGTCTAGACTGGGTCCCGCGTGTCCGCGTCAGGCGCGCATGGGGTATCCCGTATCCGGCGGGAGGGCGACCTGAAAACGCAGGCCCCCGGTGATTCGCCGGGCGATCTCCCTGCCGTTCTCGTCCGGTGATGCACGAGTGTGACGCTGGCTCATAGTTTGCCTCAGCCAACAGCTCGATCGGCATCATCCGCCTCGCCGGACAGAGACGTGCGCACGCGACGGCCGATCCGATGCGGTGAAACAGGGCCGGCGATTCCGTGGGCGTCTTTTCGTCCGGGTGATCTGCGACGCAAAACAGGAGGGAATCTGAAGGCCGTGACAGGAGGATTTGGTGCCGTTCCGGTTGTCATAATACTACCCCACGGAGCAGCATGCTCGTGTGGCTCCGTGGCGCGAGCGAGCGTGGCACCACGGGAGTCATTCATCCCGAAGATGGACGGATCCGGGCCGTGTGTCCATGGAAATATATATGCTCGTCGCCATCTGCCGAAAGGGATTCGAGGGACGCGCGCTTGGCCCGTTTTGTAACCCGGACACAGTAATGGAGCTGCGTGGGGGAGAGGAAAGAAGATCGAATAGAGGAGTCGAGGAGTGTTCGGTTAGAGCATCCAGACTTAAGCAAATTCGACCCCCTAAACATCCGCCGTTCGGTCAATGTCCGGATGTGTTTATTTTAAGCCTCTATTTGTTCGTACATGCAGCCATGCTTCTTATTTTCTTCCTAGCATATACTCCTACTACAGTCAGTCATCTCAAATCCCACTCGAACGTCCACGGACGCATCCGACCAGTTACCGAACGGGAGAGAAGAAAAAAATAATCCAATCGGACCCCTAATGTCATTCGTATATGTTCGGGTTGTCTGCAAACACCTTGTATTGACACAAAACCTGGGGAGCATATGAGGGCTCGCGGACGCTCCCGGTCAGTTTGCCACGTAGGACGCGGCTCACCTCAGACCACCATTTCTCTTTTTATTCTTTCTTTTTTTTCTCCCCCTTCATCTCCACTAATCATATCCAAGTGACTGAACATATACGAGAGAAAATAAGGAGCATGGTTACATACAAATGGGGGCTCAAAATGGACATATCCGGACACTGATCGGGCGCGTCCGCGGACATTTAGATTGACATATTTGCTAAGTCCGGTTGTAGATGTTTTATGTCCCGTGGCATGCATGTGATTGGTGGATATGAAGAGGGAAAAAAAGAAAGAAACAATATGTGATTAGTGCAACCGGTTGCCTTCTTGTGAAAGTGCTCGGGGGTTTATTTTGGGACAATTGTACTTTCGCTATGTGCATCAAGAACAAGTTTCACTCTTCCCATGGCTTGAACAAATTGTTATGTAAATGTAATTTTGACAAATTGTGTACACACATCTCCAGTATATTTCGTATCATCACACCGTCATCTTTTGAAGTTTGTAGTTCAGGCTTTGTTTTGAAATAGCTTCGACCATACAGTCTGACTAAGGATTACAGCGCTCCATCAGTTTGATAAAACCTCCGATCAAACAGTGACAAAATGAAATACAGCACCCTGAGAATGTCACTATAGACATTCCTTTTCCCCCACAACTCTTCTATGAAACCTTCAATCAAACACTGAGAAAATGGCCAAAGCAGCTGGGAGGCACACAGAATGCATCTCAGTTTATTTGAGAATTGTTCTTACGCACATCTGGTTAAGTAGTCCTATATTCCAACTGTAGTTCATTGCCATCTTTCCTTGCCACTAGCAGTGCAGCATAGTGTAAACAAATAAACTGTGTTGTGAGTGATCTCCTGCTTTCGTGACGTGCTGTTTTTTTTTTTTTTTTTGAACTGGCCAACAATTGCTGGTTTTTCATTTACTTAGCAGGAAGAGAGCGACAAAGTTGTTTGATCAAGCGACCGGTGAGTGGTGAAGAAGAAAAGCAAAAGGAACTAGTGGAGTATCATGCTGATATCTCATGGTACATGCACCATCTATTCTAAACAACAGGGGGAAACGCTGCATACTCCGGAGTTGTACAACAACACTCGATTGCCATTTATTAGTATTCATCAATATACTATGTACAGAGCGGTAAACTCCCAAAAGCGTACACAAGTACAGACCTAGTACAGTATATCACAGCACAATGGGCGGCCAAGCTTGATCGATCAGAAGCGACGCGCCAGCCTCCAGAACCACGCCATGATCCCATTCTCATTGTCCTCGTCGTCTGAATCCGAGTCGCTGTCGGTGTCCGAGAAAGAGTGCTCGCCGGGCCGCTCCTGTTCCGGCCCGTGCTCCTTCAGCACCTCGCTCTTCAACGCTTGGTGGCCCTGGCCGCCGAAGGACAGCGACTCGTCGGAGATCGCCACGTCGTCGCCGCCGCACCGGATGATCTGGGGGAGCTGGCGGGCCGGGTGAACCACCATCTCCTCCTCCTCTGTTATGGAGTGGACTTTGGTCGGGTTGGCCGCCTCGGCAGCCGCCAACTGCTTGTCCAGAAGCGGCTCGGCGGCGGCCACGCGGTCAACGGCGTCGGGCACTACTTGCGTCGGAAGCTCGACGGGTAGGCGCGCCGGGACAGAACCCACGAGGAGGCAGCAGACGAGCACGAAGAGGGAAGCAGAGGCGCCGGTGCGCGCCATGGGTGTTGCTTGTGGACTGGTGGCGCGTGATCAGTGTGGTGGTGGAATGGAAGCGTGGAAGGGAATATGCTGGGCGGGGAGCTATGCAAAAGAGTGAAAGACCAGTTGGAATTTTCGATGTATTTAGAGTCAGGAATCCCGAAAGGTCGTTTCGATGTATTTTCGCTAAGGAAACGTTCCCTTGTCGCCTTCATGTTAGGAGAGGGAGACGACTTTGAGCGAGAGCGACCCAGGAGGTAGATTCTCTTGGTGCACATTGTTTAGCTTGCTACAGGTTTTATGGTGTCGCTGCTTATTCTTTGCGAGGCACATAGTATGAGTCTATGAGACATGTAGATATTTTATGGAACACAGGAACAACACCCAAAGGGGCGCAAACGCGCAGGTCAGCGCTCTCCCGACGGGTTATTGGTCTGACCGGTCGCTTCAAAAAATGTTCGCGGACTTTCAAAAATCTTTATGAATTTTAGATTTCTTTGTGAATTCACAAACTATTCAAGGATGTAGAATATGCTAACGATTTTAGGAAAGCCTTCGCGACTTTGAAAATGTTCTCAATTCAAAATATGTTCGTGCATTCAAAAGTATTTGCAATTGCAAAAAAAATGATTGAGTGCTGGAAAAATGTTCATGATTTCAAAAAAATATTGACGAATTCATAAAACGTTCACACATGTAAAAAAAGATCAGGAAATAAAAACATGTCCACGATTTTGAATAATGTTTGCAAATTTAATAAGGATTTCATGAATTTGAAAAATGGACGCATATTAAAAAAATGATGAATCGAAAATATTCACGAACTAAAAAATGTCCTTGAATTCAGAAAATTTAGAAACTATTCGATAATTGAAAAAACATTCATGAATTCAAAATATGTTTAGGATTTTGATAAATGTTCGCAAATTTAAAACTTCTTCGAGAATTCAAAAAATGTTCAGAAATGGAATCATGAATTCAAATAATGTTCCTGACTTCAGAAAATGTTCAATAACTTAAAAAATGTTCGTGACTCTTAAAAAATGTTCATCAATTCAAAAAAGTTCAAGAATACAAAATGTATTTCTGAATTTGAAAATTCAAAAGGTTGTTTATGCATTCCAAAAATGTTTAAAAAATAATCATGAATTCAAACAATGGTCGCGACCTTAGAAAATGTCTGAAAACTACAAAAATGTGTTCGTAATTTTCAAACAGTTCAGGAATACAAAATATGTTCACTTTTTTCTGAAAATGACGTAAATACCAATTTTTTTTTGAAAACATGAATACAAACAATGTTCACGACTTCAGAACAAGTTCGAGAATTATTAGTTTTTTCGTGATTTGGAGAAATGTTCAGAAATTATAAATCTTCACAAGTACAAAAATAATTCACAAATGGCAAAAAAGTTTGAAATATTGAAAAATCTTCGCCAATTAAAATGTTCTTCGTCAATTAAAAAAATGTTCAAAAACTCAAAAAGTAAATCAAATTCAAACAATTTTCAAGCCTTCAGAAAATGTTTCAGAATAAAACAAATGTTCCTAATAGTGGAAAATGTTCACAAATACAAAAAAAAATCATGATTTCGAAAAATGTGGCAAATCCAAAAAGACTTCACGAATTTCAAATATATTCCAAATTTCTAAAAAACATCATGAGTACAAACAGTATTGGACATTAGAAAATGTTCGAGAATTAAAAAAATTGTTCATACTTTGACAAATGTTCATGAATTCCATAACCCTTCATAAATATAAAATAACTTGCGATTTTTGAAAAATGTTCGCAAATTCAAATAATAAATCGGGACTTCCAAAAATGTTAATTTAAAAAAAAGATAAATTCAAACAATGTTCACGACTTCAGAAAATGTTTGAGGATTGAAAAAAAGTTTTTGTGATTTTGAAATGTTCACGAATGCAGAAAACTTCGCTAATAAAAAATATGTCTGCGAGTTAAAAAAAGTTGGCTTCAAAATATTCTCTGGTAATTTGAAAAAGAAATAATGAATTCAAAGAATGTTCACAACTTCAGAAAATGTTCTACAATTAAAAAGGTGTTCGTGATTTTGAAGATGTTTGCGAATACGAAAAATGATCATCATTTAGAAAAATATTCACAGATTCTCAAATTTCTTCATGAATTCCAAATATTTTCATAAATTAAAAAAAATAGAATTCAAACAGTGTTTGCGGCTTGAAATGAATTTCGAGAATTAAAGAAATGTTCAGGATTTTGAAAAATCTTCATGAATTAAAAAATGTTAAAGAATAGAAGACATGTTCCTGAATTCAACATATATCCACGATCTAAAACAATTGCAAACTCAAAGAAAGTCCACAAATTGAAAAAAATGTTCACTGTTTCAGAAAATGTTCAGAAATGTAATCATGATTCAAATAATGTTCACGAGTTCAGAAAATATCCGATAACTTACAAAAATATGTTCATTGTGTTAAAAAAATACGAATTAAAAAAATGAGAATACAGAATATATTTCTGATTTTGAAAAATGTTCAAAAATTCAAAAAGTTGTCTCTGCATTCAAAAAATGTTCGAAAAATAATCATGAATTCAAAAAATGGTCGTGACTGCAGAAAATGTTTGAAAATTCTAAAAAATGTGTTCGTGGTTTTGCGAAATGTTCAGGACACAAAAATATGTTCACGTTTCTGAAATTGCCATAAATACAAAAAGTTCTTTGTGAATTTAAATTCTGTTTTACGAAAACCTGAATACAAACAATATTCACGACTTTAGAAAATGTTCGAGAATTAAAAGAATTATCCGTGATTTGGGAAAATGTTCAGGAATTAAAAAATGTTCATGAATACAAAAATAATTCACAAATTCAAAGCATGTTTGCAATTTCTAAAAATGATCGCAAATTTAAAAAGTTCTTCTTCAATTCCAAAAATGTTCAATAATTTAAAGAAAATCAAATTCAAACAATGTTCTTCCCTTCAAAAAAATTTCGAGAATTAAACAAATATGTTCGTAATATTGGAATATGTTCACGAGTACCACAAAAAGTTAACGATTTCAAAAAATGTTTGCAAATTCATAAAGTCTTTGTGAGGTCCAAATATATTCAAAATTTCAAAAAATATATATGAATACAAACAATGTTTTGGACTCTAGAAAATGTTTGAGAATTAGAAAAATTGTTCATGATTTTGAAAAATGTTCATGAATTCAAAAAATGTTCGTAAATACAAAATAACTTGCAATTTTGATAAATGTTCGCAAATTCAAAAATTACTTCAGGAATTCCAAAAATGTATGATTTTTGCTTCCGCTAGAGGGTACCGTGGCCACTACCGCTAGGGCAAAGTCTTCTGTTATCCTTGAGCCAATTCGCCATAGTTCCACGATAGTGCAACGGTAGTATCGTTTATGGGTATTTCCGCTCTGGCACTGCTCATTCGACTGCTATTTGTTCGGTAGTACCGCTGTTCATAGGCGGTAATACTGCTTTGTCGGAATTACCGTTCTTGTATTGGTTCAATACTCGTGGGTCGCTATGGCACTGCCCTTTGACAATTAGTAGTAGTACCGCTAGTCATAGGCAGTAATACTGCTCCGGTGGAACTACCGTTCTTGCATTGGTTCAATACTCGTGGGCCGCGGAGAAACTACTCTAAGTGGTAGTACCGCTTCTCTAAGCAGTAGTAACGCTTGAGTATGGGCACATCACATGACGGTTGGATTTGAGCCCCCACTATATAAAGGAGGTGTTTTCCCCCCAAAAGACCTACCTCTTATCCCCATTGCTCCATTGTTTCCCTAAAGCTCAAACTCGCCCGATCTCCCTCCCTAGCCATCAAAACTTGTTGATTCTCTAGGGTTTGAAAGAGAAGGCCACGATCTACATGTTGGGGAACGTTGCAGAAAATAAAAAAATTCTACGCTTCACCAAGATCAATCTATGGAGTCATCTAGCAACAGAGAGAGGAGTGCATCTACATACCCTTGTAGATCGCGAGCGGAAGTGTTCAAGAGAACGGGGTTGAGGGAGTCGTACTCGTCGTGATCCAAATCACTGAAGATCCTAGTGCCGAACGGACGACACCTCCGCGTTCAACACACGTACGGTTGGGGAAGACGTCTCCTCCTTCTTGATCCAGCAAGGGGAAGGAGAGGTTGATGGAGATCCAACAGCACGACGGCTGGTGGTGGAAGTAGCGGCGATCTCGGCAGGGCTTCGCCA